CACTCTACTACCGAGAGCCAGCTCGGCTGTAGAGACCCCCAGCCAGGCGGCGCTGAACGAATCAAGAGGCAGTCACCCAGATAGAACAGCAACATGGGACTATCCCGGGGGGGCCAGTGGCCTCCCCAACTGAGAGCCTGAGGGGCTGACGGCATTCCAGGCTGAAGGCCTCCAGCAGATTCTGATCCACATATTTAGTCTCTCTGAACAGGTGATTATTATTAACAGGTGTTCTGTGTCTTCTCATAACAAAACATACCAAGTAGGCAGCTGTTGCTCCCTTCCAATGATTACAAACAAGCTAAAAGGTATTCTCCACGAGGGAGCCACGGGGGCAGGGGCAGATATCTCAAAGAACTGTTTTAACCGGTGTGTGATGTTTATACCTTGTCCTGCCACGTTGGAATGCCCCAGGTAGTTTTCTGCTCGGGGTGGGGGTGGCTAGGTGTTCCTTGCCATCGTTCTTCCTAGCAAACAATATGTTTTATCATACACTCAGCGTTTCTCAATATTCATAAACTTTACATTTCTCAACACTGCACTCCAGCCTGGGCAAGAAAGTGAGATTCTGTCTCAAAAAAAACAAAATTTTTTTTAAGCCTGCATTGATATGTGTATGCTCCCACTCAGACCACAAGCATTATCACAAAGGAGCCCCTGACTTCGAACTCAGACAGTTTTTACCAAGGAACTCACGAAATACCAGTGACTGCTTTTACTAAGTCAGTGGTAAAAACAGTTTCCTCTATAAGGTTTGCTACCATACTATTTAAATTGCCTTAGTTACTTGACAAAATTATAAAGTAAAATTTTAAACCTTAGTTCACTGAAAAATGCCAGTACTTCTCGCTGTATCAGAAAAACTCAAATAAAAAAATCTTTTTATCCCTGACTTTTTCCTAGAGACAGTACCTCTTAATAAACAAATAGTATCTTTTGATTCTGAGAAAGTCCTAAGTACAACTTGTTCAAGGAATAATAATTGTTTGCTAAAAATTAGGTCTCTAACTTCTCAGGCATTCAACAAGTATTTGTTGCTTACTTACTATGAACAAGGTGTATGCCAAGGACTGTTCTTGGCACTGGAGATACAGTGGAGAAAAACAAAAGACATAACAACCCCTGCCCTCCCAGGCCTCATATCCTGGCAAAGGAAGACAGCAAAGCAGAGAAGGGGAAAAATGATTGCACAGTTAGGGTGAAGAGAGGCACAGGGAGAAGGCAAAGTTCACAAGTTTAACGAGAGGGGTCAGGTACCCAGCACAGTGGCTCACACCTGTAATCCCAGCACTTTGGGAGGCCGAGGCTAAGGATCCCTTGAAGCCAGGAGATCAAGACCAGCCTGTGTGACATACTGAAACTCTCATCTCTAAAAAAATTTTAAAACTAGCTGGATGTGGTGGTGTGCACCAGCGGTCCCAACTACTCGGGAGGCCGAAGTGGGAGGATTGCTTGAGCCCAGAAGTTCGAGGCTGCAGTCAGCTATGATCGTGCCACTGCACTCTAGCCTGGGTGACACAGCAACACCCTGTCTTAAAAAAAAAAAAAAAAAAAAGAGTGCAAAGGCCTCACAGAAAATTACCTTTGAGGAACGGCCTGAGGAGCTAATGGGATGAGTCGTGTGGATTATCTCTGAGAAGGACATTCCAGACAGAGGCAACTGGAGGCAACCAAAATATTCCTCACTAAAATTCGGGGGATTACAGTGAAAAGGTTAAACAGGGGCATACTCTACTTCTCCTGTGTGCCTCAGTCAGCTCCTCAACAGAGCTCAGAGACAGCAGTGCCAGAGGACCCAGAAACAGACTTCCCTCTTCCCATCGATTTACCTCCTCCCACTTTCCAACCTTCTGGAAGCCTGAAGATGGTCTTTTCTTTGTTTTGTCACTAGACAGGACGCGTGGCTCTTTGTCAAAATCCTATTTAAGCAAGGCCCCTAAGCTATTGCCTAGAGAGAGAAATACTTCTGAACTGAGGTCTCTCCCGCGCGTTAGGTACGACACACATTAATAAACTTCTGCTTATTTTTCCTTCGTTAATCTGATTTTCAGGACAGTGTCTCAACAAAAGACCTAAAAATGGATGTCGGGGACAGTGGCTCACGCGTGTAATCCCAGTGCTTTGGGAGGCCGAGGAGGGCAGATGATGAGATCAGGAGATTGAGACCACCCTGGCTAACATGGTGAAACCCCATCTCTACTAAAGATACAAAAAATTAGCAGGGTGTGGTGGCATTCACCTGTAGTCCCAGCTACTGGGGAGGCAGAGGCAGAAGAATCCCTTGAATCCAAGAGGCGAAGGTTACAGTGAGGTTATCGCCCCATTGCACTCCAGCCTGGGCAACAGGGTGAGACTGCCTCAAAAAAAAAAAAAAAGTAGAGCCAATACATTTGTTAAATTGAAAACGAGATGTGAGACAGATAGAAGCCAAGGATGAATCCAGAATTTTTTACCTGAACAACTAGAAGGATGGAATGCCATCTTCCAAGATAGAGAAACTGAGAAGCAGCAGGTCTAGGGAGGAAGACCTGGAACTCTGTTTTGGATGTGTTAAAACTGAAAAGCCGGGGCCGGGCACGATGGCTCAAGCCTGTAATCCCAGCACTTTGGGAGGCCGAGGCGGGTGGATCACGAGGTCAAGAGATCGAGACCATCCTGGTCAACATGGTGAGACCCCGTCTCTACTAAAAATACAAAAAAGTAGCTGGGCATGGTGGCGCGTGCCTGTAATTCCAGCTACTTAGGAGGCTGAGGCAGGAGAATTGCCTGAGCCCAGAAGGCGGAGGTTGCGGTGAGCCGAGATCGCGCCATTGCACTCCAGCCTGGGTAACAAGAGCGAAACTCCGTCTCAAAAAAAAAAAAAAAACAAAAAACAAAAAAAACAAAAACTGAAAAGCCTCTTGGACATTCAAATGGGGAGATCAAGCTGATGTCTGAATATGAGTCTGGAGTTCAGGTGAGAAATCCAGTTAAAGGTGTAAAGTTAGAGCAGGCATAATGGTTCATGCCTGTAATTACGGCACTCTGGGAGGCCAAGTGTGGGAGGAGCACTTGAGGCTAAAAGTTCAAAACAGCCTGGACAATACAGTGAGACCCCCGTCTCTTAAAAAGAATTTAAAATTTTGCTAGGTGTGGTGGCTGATAGTCCCAGCTACTCAGGAAGCTGAGGCAAGAGCCCAGGAGATTGAGGCTGCAATGAGCTGTGATTGGGCCACTGCACTCTAGCCTGGGCAACGGAGCAACAGGTCTCAAAAAAATTTATATATATATATAAATAAATAAAATTGGGAGTCTTCAGTATATGGATAATAGTTAAAGCTATAAACAGGTTTATCTCATCTAGAAAGTATAGATAAGGGCCAGGCATGGTGGCTCACATCTGTAATCCCAGCATTTAGGAGGCCAAGGTGGGTGGATTGTTCAAGACCAGCCTAGGCAACATGGCAAAACCCCATCTCTACAAAAAATTAGCTGGGCATGGTGGTGTGCCCCTGTGGTCCCAGATACTCAGAAGGCTGACGTGGAACGATCACCAAAGCCCAGGAGGTCGCGGCTACAGTGAGCCAAGATCACGCAGTGTACTCCAGCCTGGGGGACAAAGAGAGACTTGCCTCAAAAAGAAAAAAAAAAAAAGAAGAAGAAGAAAAGAACACATACTAAGACTGATGGGCCTTGGGGCCCTCCAATATTTAGAGGTCATAAAGAAGGAGAATCAGTAAATAAAAATGATGAGTCCAGGAGGAGAAAAATCAGGAATGTGATATCTTAGAAGCTGGGTGAAAAAAAAGTATTTCAGAGAGAAAGGAGTATCAAATGTCATAGAATTGAATTCAGCAGAAGAGAGGTCATCAGTGACCCGGACAGGCAATGTCAGTGGAGTCATGGCGTTGAAATCTTATTTAGAGTTCATCTAAACAAGAATGAGAAAAGACTGGAGCTGGTGAGTACAGCACCTCTCTAAAGAGCTGTGCTGTAAAGGGGAGCGGGGAGGCGGATGTGCAGTACCTGCAGGGAAAAAGCATATCACGTCAAGAGACTGGTTTTTGTTTGTTTGTTTTGTTTTGTTTTGTTTTTGAGATGGAGTCTCATTCTGTCGCCAGGCTGGAGTGCAGTGGTGCAATCTCGGCTCACTGCAACCTCTGCCTCCCAGGTTCAAGGGAGTCTCCTGGCTCAGCCTCCCAAGTAGCTGGGACTACAGGCACGCACCACCATGCCTGGCTAATTTTTTTATTTTTAGTAGAGACAAGCGATTAGTATGTTGGCCAGGATAGTCTCAATTTCTTGACCTCGTGATTACAGGTGTGAGCCACCACGCCCAGCCAGTTTTCTTTCTTCAATGAGAAAAAAAAGAGAGTGTTTGTTGATAATGCAAAGATCCAGTTGAGATGGAAAAACTACCAGGAGAAGAGAAGAATTGTAGCCCAATATCCTTGAGTGCAGTGAGAGGAACTCATTGACATCTACTGCAGAGAGGGTATCCATAGTAACCAGAGGCAAGTCAGAGTCTACAGGTCCTGCAGACACAGACAGGTGGGTGGGTAAGAGTTATGCAAGTTCTCTTTCCTTCTTTTTTTTTTTTATTTGCAGTAATTGGTAACAAAAGCGCTCTTTTAATTGCTTCTATTTTCTCAGCAAAACAGGATAAACCTATGATGCAGAGAACTCTCTTTGGGTGACAAACAAGCAAAAGAGGTAATAACACTATGAAAGATCAGTGGAAAGAAGCTAAGTACATGTTGGAATAGTCAGACCAGAATGGGCAAGTTCCAAATTTGCCCTGCCTGAGCAAAGGCTCAAAGACAGTAGTGAGATTCATATGCATTAGGGGAAACAAGTTTAAGCGGAGGTTTTGCACACCAGAGAAGTGAAAGTAAAATTGGTTTGGTCCAAATGGTAGAAGGCCTTCAATGACAAGCTGAAGAATTTAGGAATATATTGCTTTCCACTGGTTTGTATATTCCATTCTACAGTGTTGCTAAGTGATGCATTCCAGAGTTCTTGACTGTGAACTCCTGTGACTGCCAGTGGTGTACCTGAAGGACCACTGGCCTTCTTACACATGGCTAAGAGCCGATTTTCTTGTATGCAAATTTGGGTTAAGATGCATGGGTATTTTTCGAGGCTGTGTTGGCGCCTCTCATATTTCTGCTGTGTCATTGTAAAGGGCTTTTTTGTTAAGAAGAAGGAAAAACAAATCCCTCCAGCTGAGACTTATTTTCATAAAGAAAAAGTTGTTGTACTTGGCCAAGTGTTGATGAATGAATTTCTACCCATTGAGAAGAGAGCTCAAGCTGCCAAGAAAATTGGACTGCTGGCCTTCACAGGTACTGATCTCACCAGCTGTGCTAAAATAAGTGTTTCTCGACACCCATAACACTGTACTTTGGCAATTTTTGTTAGCTGTAATCTTAAAATGCTGCTAACATTTCACTGGATCAAATTATTTTGTCTTTGCACCAAAAATATTACTAATTATTTTCTACTCAAGGATCTCATGTTTTAAAAGAATGTGCCCGACAAATAAGCTACTAGTTAAATGTTTAAAAATTAATTTTTTATTAATTAAAATATTATGTACTAAAGTGCCTATCAAAGTTCTCATTAACATTTAAAAAATTGAAGACTACACTGATTTAATATTTTTTTCTAATATTATGACAGATTATGATATAATTTCAATCTAGTGATATGATTCCAATGCAGAATAAAACTACCTGATATTTTACTTTTTATTTTTTGCATTGTACAGTAAATATCTTAGAAAAATCAATAAAACTTAATATTCTTTCTTTTTTCTCAAGACAGTCTTGCTCTGTTGCCCAGGCTGGAGTGCTGTGGCACGATCTCAGCTTATTGCAACCTCTGTCTCCTGGGTTCAAGCAATTCTCTTGCCTTAGCCTCCCAAGTAGCTGCGATTACAGGCACACGCCACCATACTGACTGATTTTTTGTATTTTTAGTAGAGACAAGGTTTCACCACGTTGGTCAGGTTGGTGTTGAACTTCTGAGCTCATGATTTTTCCAACTCCCCTCACAAAGTACTGGGATTACAGACATGAGCCACCGCACCCAGCCGAAAACATAGTACTCTTAAGACACCTGCTAGGTAAGCCAATAGGGGCAACGATTAATGTATAAATGGCTAGAAAGTAAAATGGAAAATAAAGTGGTAACCGTTTGAACACACATCGCTCTAATAATCATCAAGTCCAAACTCCATTTTTTTCTAATTGATAAATTTTAGGATGTGTAATGAGATTTTATAGACTGTCCCTGTCCTCAGTAAAACATCTCCTAATAAGAAGCTCTGGCTGGTGGCTCTAAGAGTCTTGGATTGATTGTTTTAATTTGAATTTGAATTTTTTTTTAGATAGAGTTTCGCTCTTGTTGCCCGGGCTTGAGTGCAGTGGCCTGATCTCGACTCACTAAAACCTTCACCTCCTGGCTTCAAGTGATTCTCCTGCCTCAGCCTTCCCAGTACCTGGGATTACATTAGGTGCCCACCACCCTGCCCAGCTAATTTTTTATATTTTTAGTAGAGACGGGGTTTCACCATCTTGGTCAGACTGGTATCGAACTCCTGACCTCAGGTGATCCACCCACCTCAGCCTCCCATAGTTAGGATTACAGGCGTGAGCCACCACGCCTGGCCCCTTAGATTGAGCTTTAAGTGGGAAAATGAATTACTTAGATGTAGTTGGGTAGACTAAATCTTTCAAAGAATGGACTTCGTGAAAGAAGACGGTAAAAGGAGTCCTTGTTGCCAGAATGGCTGGGAACCACTGACAGCTAGAAAGGAGACAGGAAGCATAGGAGACGCAGCCATCTGAGTGGGGGAAAGGGCTCCCCCATCATGGGGCGGGCTGAGTTCTCTGTGTAGCTATCTTCACCAATTGTGGGAAGAGCTAGCTAATTATAAAAGGATCAGAATTCTTTAATCTGATGGTATTTGGCCTTAGCTGTTCTGGTAGGAGCTCGGGAAAGGGGCTCTGCTTAGGCTGCAGGCAAAGCTGTAATGTTGAATATAACATTCTTAGGACCATGGAACTGTGGAGTACAAGTAAGAGAAATCCCAGTGGGATCAAAACTCCAGTGGCACCAGGCACGGTGGCTCATGCCTGTAATCTCAGCACTTGGGGAGGCAGAGGTGGGTGGATCACTTGACCAGCCTGGCCAACATGATGAAACCTCATCTCTAAAAATACAAAAATTAGCCAACTGTGGTGACACGTGCCTGTAATTCCAGCTACTTGGGAGGGTGAGGCACTAGAACTGCTTGAACCCAGGAGGTGAAGGTTCCAAGAGCCGAGATCACTCCACTGCATTCCAGCCTGTACAACAGGGTGAGACCCTGTCTCAAGAAAAACCCCCAAAACCAAAAAACTCCAGTGGCAATAATCTGACCTGCTTTGTCAGCTACTCCTCACCACCTAAAAAGTCTTCAACTACTGTCTTCTTGGCTAGTACCTTGCTGGAGTTTGAGATTTGCATAGGGTGTCAGGTATATGGTCAAAGTAGAGTCTAGGGCCAGACTGGGTCTACTGGCTAAACAAGAAAAATCTTGTAAGGTCGTGTTGGTCCCATAGCTGCAAAAAAGCTGAGGCAAGAAATGTGTAAGTGGAATAGGACAGCAATGGATAGAAACTAAGGAAAACCTCCCTCCCACTGGTCAGTCCCTGGCTGTGCTGCTCAACCTCTCAATTTGCTCTTGGCTCTAATGCTGTGGGATCCTTCTGGGTTTTTTTTTTTTTTCCAGTACTAAAGGCAGATAATCCAGAATGAGATCATGAAGGGGATTTGCGAAGCCAGGCGTCCTCAAACTTTTTACACGGGGGGCCAGTTCACTGTCCCTCAGACCACTGGAGGGCTGCCACATACTGTGCTCCTCTCACTGACCACCAATGAAACAGGTGCCCCTTCCTGAAGTGCGGCGGGTGGGGGTGGGGGGCGGATAAATGGCCTCAGGGGGCCGCATTGCGGGCTGTAGTTTGGGGACGCCTGTGCTAAGCGAACGCAGCCCGGTTTTATTCACCTTGAAATACTCACTCCCAACTGGCCGGGCACAATGGCTCACGCCTGTAAATCCCAGCACTCTGGGAGGCCGAGGCAGGTGGATCACAAGTTCAGGAGTTCAAGACCAGCCTGGCCAACATGGTGAAACTGTGTCTCTACTAAAAATACAAAAATTAGTTGGGCTTGGTGGTGGACGCCTGTAGTCCATGGTGCTCAGGAGGCTGAGGCAGGAGAATCGCTTGAACCCAGGAGGTGGAGGTTGTAGTGAACCAAGATCAAGCCACTGCACTAGCCTGGGCGACAGAAAGAGACCCCTTCCCCCCTCCCGAAAAAAAGAAAAAGAAAAGAAATGCTCATTCCTGGGTGCTTGCTTAAAGGAACCAGGGAGGAGACCAGCAGGCAGAGGCCTCGCCATGCTTTTCCTATCACCTCTTGCTTATCAACACACACTCTCTGGTCTTCATGGCAGCAAAATGGGAAGTGGGGAAAAAGGAGAATTCAAAATATACAAAGTGTCCTCTATAGGGCAACAGGAATATGAACACATAGGAGCATTCCAAAGTGGTACTAGCTACTAGATACACCAAATACTTCTGGAAATGCAAATACTTGTTTTACAGGAGGACCACCTACTGGGAAATTTGCAGCTGAGTACATGAAAGAAGTGGCTCACTTGCTGCAAGATGAGGAGTTGGCACCCAAAATAAAGATCCTGCTGCTCCAGAGTGTGGCATGTTGGTGTTACTTAAACCCTTTCAGCCAGAAGAGAGCCAAAAGTCTGCAATTTATTCCTATTCTCATTAGTTTTTTAGAAGGCAGCTTCGAGTCTTCTATCGAAAGTGAAATGAACAGCTACCTCCTCCTTAAATTTTGGACCTGCTACGTTCTCTCTGTCATGACATGCAACAACTCGTCTTACGTCAGGGAGCTTAAAGACCACAAGAATCTAAAAGACTGTTTGCAAACGATGGCTTCTATGGATTGGTCTGGATGGCCAGAGAACTTCGCTCAGGTGCTGTATTACCTAATTGGTTTTCACAAGAACTAGTTTCTCCAAACTCAGTTATGTGTTGCAGCTCTCTGTGCCGCTGTATTATCCTGGAAAACTGAAATAAATAATAAAAATCGGTGTCTTAATTTTCAGTGTTTTCCTTTGTAGTTGAAGAGTTCTGTATAGATTTTCATACAGTTAACTGCAATAATCAAACTTCAGAAAAGCAATGCTGTTTACAGTTACCTCGTAGACAGGGCCCACTGAGCGTGCTCGTGTGTTCTCTCTTACTAGGAAATAAAGATGTTAAAGCATGCAGTTGGATACCATGGGGAATATGAATGAAACCACCTTTGCAAAAACAAGGACAGTGAGAAAAATCTGACAGCGAAAGGAAGCTGACCTCACTGACTCTATCTTGATTCTAACCTCTAAGCTGCCCTTGTTCATTCCTGGGCATAGGCCAAACTAACTTTGGGAAGAATTTAGTTCACAGTTTTCACTATGAAACCAAGATGATTACCTAGATCCTTCCCGGAAACAAACTCCTTTCTTGCTTGGGGACCAGAGTGCCTCTGTAAAACTAACACATTGGCCACAGATTAGAAATCACAGCTCGGGAGTCAAGAAGCCAGAGGCCACAGATTCCTAGCCTCCCCAGCTGCACCTACAGATAACGTTAGTACTGTAAAACCTAAGATTAGTATGTGAGGTATTTTTCAGATCCTGCATTCTGACGGATGGGCCGGCACCACCCAGACTGCCACGCTGGCTCTTCTGGTCTTGCAGTCCTCAACCAGCAAGTGACTCGGCACAAGAGGACAAGTTCCAGCCTCCTGTGATTTCGTCTGCAGCGGAACCAATGAGCATTCCCCATTCCCTAGCCCGCCTCCATGAAACTATCCTTAAAAATCCCTAGTCCCCAAATTTTCAGAGAGGCTGATTTGAGTAATAGCAAAACTCTGGTCTCCCATTTAGCCAGCTCTATGTGTATTAAAATCTTTCTCGATTGCAGTTTCCCTGTCTCAATAAATCTGCTCTGTTTCGGTAAAGAAACAGAGGCAGTTACATGAATCATCGTCAAATTACAAAGCTGGAATGTTTATTTTTTGCCACCTGTTATACAAAGGCCAGAATATCTAGCCCCAATGTCTGCCATTAAATCATAAAATTCTTATTTTCTAATACATCTCTTTTTGAAGTTGTTTAAAAGTAAGTATTTTACAATTGATTTCCCATTGGGAAAAAATCTATGCTGGTAATTTTTATTTAACCATGTGCTTCTGTGTGGTTAAAAGAAAAATTATTAAAAGTAAAAAAAAAAAAAAGACCTCATAAAATTTAAATTGATAAAATGGAAATTCGTAAGATGCAACATGCACATAACTGTTAGGAGCAATGGTGCACTATCGTAGTTATTAGATGACATTAAACCAAGGCACCCAGAAAAGCCAAATCCCAGCTCAACCCACAGCCACTCCTGCAGCAGGCACTGTTAACTCACCCGAATCCTTTTGGCCCTATTTCAGTACAGAACCTCTGGTGGTGGTGCTTTTGAGATTGTTCTCTGACTATGAGAGCATGATCTGGTTGCACATAGGGCTGACTGGGAATTAGCACTAGACGGCAGCAGCCGCAACTCCACTGGCACAAAGGTCTGGATGGAGATGGAATGCATGTGTCCAGATGCCTAAAGCCAGCCTACAGTTAGGTAGGCTCTTAGATTTTCATAAAAAGATTGTATTCTGTTTCATCTATTAGATAATCTGTAACAGAGTACCTGCATTCTATGTGTGTTAACTGACCTCACCAAAAGTTTTATTTGAAAAAATACTATTGGCAGAAAAGTGCCTAAGGGATATGTACCTGCTTCTCTGACTGCGCTGGCACCTGCCTCTAGCTTTGGTTGCAACCGTAACATTGAATTAAGTGTTTTCATCGTTCACACACTTGCTTTGACTGAGCTGTGCTTTAGGGTTCGGCCCAGAGGGGGCTATTAAAAAAAAGTCATGTAGATTCATGATCCTCACTTGTAATTGGGATAAGAATGCTGTGGAGGATGCTAATCACATCATTACATGGGGTTTCCTGGAGAAGCAACGGCGGGGAGGGAGTAGTTTTCTCAGACCTTAGAAACAGAAAAGGCTACGTTCTGCTGAGCAACTGTACGTGTCCATTCTTTGTGGTTTCATGAAGTGTGGAATGTGGAGTTTGTCAACTTGAATCCAGTTGATAGGAAGAGACTAAGTGTTGGAAATCCAAAGTTCCATTTAGATACTAAATCACTGTCAGGATTTAGTATGCACTATCATAAAAAGCTTTATTTGAAAAAATAATATTGGCAGAAAAGTGCCTAAGGGATATGTACCTGCTTCTCTGACTACGCTGGCACGTGCCTCTAGCTTTGGTTGCAACCATAATTACCTGACTGATTGACTGATTGTTGAGACAGCGTCTTACTCTGTCACCCAGGCTGGAGTGCAGTGGTGCAATCACAGTTCATGCCACTGAGTTATGAACTTTATCAAGACAGGGGAAATGCAATAGAGAGAGTTTAATACACACAGAGCTGGCTAAATGGGAGATCAGAGTTTTGTTATTACTCAAATCAGCCTCTGAAAATTTGGAGGCATAGATCACACATAACCTTGGAAGTCCTTGGCTCAAGCAATCCTCCTGCCTTAGCCCCTCATGTAGCTAGAATTACATGTGCAAACCACTATGCCCTGCTAATTTCTTTTTCATATGTATATGAAAAGTGTACACACACACACTTTTTTTGTTTGTTTTTGAGACAGAGTCTTGCTCTATCGCCCAGGCTGGAGTGCAATGGCACGTTCTCAGCTCACTGCAACCTCCACCTCCGGGGTTCAAGTGATTCTCCTGCCTCAGCCTCCTGAGCAGCTGGGACTACAGGCAGGTGCCACCACACCCAGCTAATTTTTTGTATTTTTAGTAGAGACAGGGTCTCACCATGTTGGCCAGGATAGTCTCGATCTCCTGAGCTCGTGATCTGCCCGCCTCAGCCTCCCAAAGTGTGGGGATTACAAGCATGAGCCACTGCATCTGGCCCGACACACACACACACACACACACACACACACACACACACACACAAATATTTTAAAACAGAGATTGAGTTTGCTATTTTGCCCAGGCTGTTCTCAAAATCCCAGGCTGAAGCATTCCCTCTTGTCTTAGCCTCCCAAAGTTTTGGGATTACAGGTGTCAGCCACCACATTCAGCCTTTGAGTGCTTTTAAAATTAAGTTTTTATTTCAAAGGAATGCATATCCACAGTTTAAAAAGTCAAATAACATCAGGCCTTTAGTGAGGAACAGCAGTCCCTGAGCCCCCTCCTCATCTGCACTCCCAGAGCTGACCATCTGAATTCCTTCCATTGTTTCTTCTAGTATTTATTTACCTCCATATTTCTAAATGATTGATACACATTGTTAATTCTTGGCTTTTTTATATATTTTAATTTTGGGGATGTTTGTTCTTCCTTCCGGGAAAAGACCGATGGAATCCGGCGCTCCCACACTCCTCTTCCCTACCCCCACCTGCTCTCCTCTTCTCCATCTAATTATGTCGCAATTGTTGATTTAAAAAATAGGATAGCTGGGCACAGTGGTTCACACCTGTAATCGCAGCACTTTGGGAAGGTGAGGGAGGAGGACTGCTTGAGGCTGAGAGTTTGAGACCAGCCTAGGCAACATAGCAAGACAGCTCTATTATAAGTAAATGACTATTTTAAAACCCAGTATGATTAATTCAATATTTTTCATGGCTAAGTCATACAGGATAGTATGATTACATTTCCTTCTTTGTACAATTCTGTTTTCTCTGGACTTTGGTTTTTGCTTAGTTTTCTGAATATCTATCATTGCTTTATTCCCACGCTTTCGTCTAAATGTCTAACATCTCTCAATACCATCATGTATTGAGTAACTGTCAGCCCCAGCCCCACCATCCTCTTGCTCCAATCTGCGACTGCCCTACAGCTAACAAATACAGTATTTTAGGGGTTCCCTTCAACATCCAGGACCCCCCATTACCCTTCTCATCTTGAAGCCTCTGCTTCCTGTATACCATCTCTTCCCTTTTCCTGGACCATTCCAACATCTGAATTTGAAAATTTTTCAGTAGTTTCCTGAGAAAGAATGAAGAGGAAGTACATATCTTAAGTATTTGCATGCCCAATGATGTCTTTATACTTCACTTGATTAACAGTTTGACTTCAGCCTGTCCCTGAACCAAGAGAAGCAGCTGAGAACATCAGTGCTCTGTGCAAGCCCTCACTCCCCAGAGGAAGAAGGGAAGAGCTGAGGCAAGCACATGAGGTTTTTGCTTCCCAAAGTCACCGATCAGGAGAGTCACTCATCTCCACTAAAACCAGGAGTGTTGCAGCTACTGGAGCTTCCTACTCCAGGAAGACATTAGATATGGAAAAGAAGCACATACGCTCACACCTGTATTCCCAGCACTTTGGGAAGCCAAGGCAGGCGGATCATGAGGTCAGGAGTTAGAGACTGGTCTGGCCAACATGGTGAAACCCCATCTCTACTAAAAATACAGAAATTAGCCGGGTGTGGTGGTACGTGCCTGTAGGCCAGCTACTCGGGAGGCGGAGGCAGGTGAATCGTTTGAACCCAGGAGGGGGAGGTTGCAGTGATCTGCGATTGTGCCACTGTACTCCAGCCTGGGCGACAGAGTGAGACTCCGTCTCAAAAATAAATAAATGAATAACAAATAAATAGGCATATACACAACCAATTAAAATGTGTAAATTCATGTATGGATAAAAAGAAAAGAAGCAGCTTCCTCTGTATCTTTCCAGGGGTATTCTATCTATATGCAAGAAAATAATACAAATATCCCTTTCTTCATCCTTGTTTTAACACATAATAGCATTCTATACATACATAATTTCAGACTTGATTCTACATCTTAAAGAGTTTCTTTTCTACTGCTTTAGAGTAGAATGAGATCATTGTATGACTGTACTATACAGCTGACCCTTGAACAGCATGGGTTTGAACTGCTCAGGTCCACTTACACGGAGATTTCATTCTGCCTCTGCCACCCCTGAGGCAGCAAGACCTCCTCCTCTTCAGCCTACTCAGTGTGAAGATGATGAGGATGAAGACCCTTATGATGAACCACTTCTGCTTAACGCATAGTAAAAAATATTTTCTCTTCTTTATGATCTGCTTATAAAATTCTTTTCTCTACCTTACTTTACTGTAAGAACACAGTGTGTAATATATACAACATATAAAATGTATGTTAAACAACTGTTTATATTATCAGCAAGGCTTCCAGTCAACATTAGGCTAATTAAGTTTTGAGAGTAAAAAATAAATTATATGTAAGGACAAGCATAGTGTCGTGCCTGTAATCCCAGCTACCTGTTAAGACTGAAGCAGGAGTATCACTTGAGCCTAGCGTGAAAAACATAAGGCCTTGTCTCAAATTAAAGAAATAATTTCAGCCAGGTGGGGTGGGGCTCACATCTGTAATCCCAACACTTTGGGAGGCCTAGATGGGAGGATTACTGGAATCTAGGAATTCGAGACCAGCCTGGGCAACATAGTAAGATATCTCTACAAAAAATAAACAAAATTAGCCAGGTGTAGTGGTGTGTACCTATAGTCCCAGCTACTTGGGAGGCTGTGGCAGGCGAATTGCTTGCACCTAGAAGGCAGAGGTTGTAGTGAACCTAAATCATGCCACTGCACTCCAGGTGGCAGAGTTGAGACCCTGTCACCAATAATTTCGAAAAAGAAAATTTATCTGGGCCAGGTGTAGTGTCTCAGGCCTGTAATCCCAGCACTGTGGGAGGCCAAGGTAGGCAGATCACCTGAGTCCAGGAGTTTGAGATCAGCCTGGCCAACATGGTGAAACCCTCTCTCTACTAAAAATATAAAAATTAGCCAGACACGGTGGTGTGTGCCTGTAATCCCAGCTACTCAAGAGGCTGAGGCAGGAGAATTCGTTGAACCCGGGAGGTGGAGGTTGCAGTGATCTAAGATTGCGCCGATGAATGCCAGCCTGGGCGAAAGAGCCAGACTCTGCCTCATGAAAAGAAAAAGAAATTATCTAAATGTTAAAAGCGTAAGATTGCCAAAAAAAAAAAGGGAAATTTTATATGTGGATTTTCAACTGTATAGGTGTTGGCTTCCCTAATGCCTGCCTTGTTCAAGGGCGAATTGTAATTTATATAACCAGTCCTATACTGATGAACATTTAGGTTATTTCCAGTATTTTGATAGTTCAAAGCTGTAATTAGTAACCTTAAATATGTGCCATCTCGTATGTGTGAGTATACCTGTTGGGTAAGTTTCTAGAAATGGAATTGCTTGGCCAGACTTACACCTTTTGCTTTTGTTTCATTCCGTTCGCTGCATTCTCACTTTTGCCGCACCTTCTGCTGACTCTGGCTTTTGTTGGAGTGGGATTATGTTATTTACAGCTTACGGTCATGTTAATAAGGTTTGGGAAAGACAGAAATGAGATGGCTCTGTTCAATTAACATATTTAACCAGAAATTGCTGAAGGCCTCTCTGTGACAGTGTTTAGAGAAATTTGGGTTAACGTTTTATCTACAGATTAGCTTATAAGGTAGTCTAATAATATGTTCTATTCAAATTCTTTTTCGGTCTCCGGAATGCCTGTAAGTTGAACGGGTTAAGATACTAGGTTCAGACTTGAGGTCCCAAGGAGCTCAGATAGGTATACACCAATTCCTAGCCTTCTTGGTTGACCTAACAATCTAATTAGTTACAACCTAAAAGTCAACTGAAACATCTTGATGGGTGGGGGATAGGCAAGGAAGTTTTCTAAACAAACCAAAAATAGAAGGAAGGGCCCTAAGGCAGTGTGAAGGATGTTTGTTGCTTTTTGGCTCACTAGAATGTATTCCTTCTTCTAATGACACTTCAGTTAATTTGGATGAGAGCCTACCCATGGTGGAGTCTTAAAATTCATTTCTAGCTGCTCTTGGATTTGCTTTTCTCTTTCCTTCCCATAATTACCCTTTATTTGGTCTTATTGCATCCACCTCCAAAAGAATTGAAAATAATTGGGGTCCATCCTTTTCTAGCTCTTCACCTTGAAACAAATTCCAAACCTTCACCATTACGCATTATGTTAAGCATGTGTACAGCACAGCTTCTTTCAGGTTAAAATCTTCTTTCCCTAGCTTACCAAGGGTTTTTACCAGAAAGCGTGTTCAATTTTGTCAATGCTGTTTCACCATCTATTAAGATGATATGTTTTTTCCCCTTTAATACAAAGAACTTCATGTTTACTAATATCGTAGCAGTCTTGCATTCCTGAGATAAACCCCAACTTGGTCATCGTTTTATCTTTTAGTAGATTATACTTGCCATTTTATTTGAGTTTTTAATTGATATTACGAGGGCTTTAGATTACCCCACTCTAGCCTTATGGTCCATCCTCATCATCATTTTTTTTTTTGAGACAAGGTTTCACTGTTGTTCCCCAGTCTGGAGTACAAAGGTGCAATCTTGGTTCACTGCAACCTCTACCTCCGGGATTCAAGCAATTCTCCTGCCTCAGCTTCCCAAGTAGCTGGGATTACAGGCACCAACCACCACACCTAGCTAATTTTATAGTTTTAGTAGAGACAGGGTTTCACCATGTTGGTCAGGCTGGTCTTGAACTCCTGACCTCAGTTGATCCACCAGCCCTGGCCTCCCAAAGTGCTGAAATTACAGGCACCAGACTGGTCCATCCTCAATATCTTGATATGTTATGCTAGCCTTGTAAAACATACTGACAAATTAGTTGTCTAATCCAGGCTTCACGCATACTGTTTTTCCAACTGATTCTCATCCACTTGCCATTTCCTTAAGGAAGCTCGATTGCATCTCATTAAATCAACTTCAAAGAACTTGTTCTAACTGTCCGGGCTTGATTAACTCCCTCACCCCTACTCCAAGAAATTTTCATTGACTTTTTTTTTTTTTTTTTTTTTTTTTTTGAGACAGAGCCTCACTCTGTCACCCAGGCTGGAGGGCAGTGGTGCAATCTAGGCTCACTGCAACCTCTGCCTCCCAGATTCAAGATTCCTGTGCCTCAGCCTCCTGAAGACCTGGGGCTACAGGTGTGTGCCATCATGCCCAGCTAATCTTTGTATTTTTAGTAGACACAGTGTTCTGCCATGTCAGCCAGGCTGGTCTCAAACTCCTGGCCTCAAGTGATCTGCCTACCTCGGCCTCCCAAAGTGCAGGATTACAGGCGTAAGCCATCACATCCAGCTATTATACTTAATATTTGATACCTAACTAAAAATGAGACTCATCTTCCACAGGAAATTCCTACAAATTCTCCATCACTAGCATCAGTTTCCAGACTAGAAGCTTAAAATACATCCCCCAATCACCCCCTACACGACCTCTAAGCAACTACTAATCTCCTTTCTCATTATACTTTGTATTTTTGTAATTTTAAATAAATGAAAGCATACAGTATGTATGTACCTGGCTTCTTTCACACACTGAGATTCATCCATTTTCTGTTCCTTTTATCGCTATAGAATTCCATTAAATGGTTCTACCATAATGTATCCACTCAGTTACCAATGGATATTTTGGCTATTACAAATAAAGCTATGAAAATGTATGAACTAGTCTTCATGTGGACATATGCTTTTGTTTCTCTTGGGTCAATACCCAGGGGTGGCATGGCTGAGTCATATAAAACACGTGTAACTTCTGAGGAATGGTTCAATTTCTCTACAGCAGTTGTTGCATTTAACATTGCCACCACCATTGCGGGTTTCAGATGCTTCACACCCTCAACACTCAATATAGTTGTTTTCATTTTTCCAAATTGAAACAATTCTGATAGTATACAGCAGTACCTGGTTGTCATTTAATTTGCACTTGCTTAATAACTAGACGTTGAGCATGCACTTACTTGCCATCTCATATACGAAGTGTGCAAATCTTTTCCCCATTTAAAAAATTAAGTCGTCTAGTATTGAGATGTAAGAGTTCTTTACAGATACAAATCCTTTGTTGGCTCCTTCTTCAAGTACATTCCCCGTCTGCTCTTGCCTTTTCATTCGTCTTTCAAAAGGTTTCCAAAATCTACAAAGTTTATGCTTTTTTGTGTGTCCTATTTGAGAACTCTTTGCCAAACCCAAAGTCACGAAGAACTTTCCTATATATACTTCTAGAAGTTTTATGATTTTAGCAACTACATTAGTTTTGTTTTTTTTTTTAACCAAGAAAACTTTATTAGCTTTAGTCTCCACTCTTTTAAATGTGCTCTAGGTACAAAATAAACATTACATACGTGTAAGATCAGTCTTTCCAACTTTAGAATGTATAAATAAGGATGACAATTTTTAAATACTTCAGTCACAATCACACAAAACTACCTTCTAAGGAAATACCAGTGAGGCAGTTAAATTTGTGCTTTCAGCTCTGAAGAATTAAAATGAATTCATCCTTTCTGCTTTTAATGAAAAATAATACATATCCTTGGAAACAGCATAAGCACTGTTATAGCAGTCTAGCTCCTAAATGAAAATGTGGACTGAGTTACAGTTTACTGTAATAACTTAGGAAGCCTTTGAAAATTAGCAATGGATCAAAGTATTTACATAAATTCTAGGCTTTTTCTTAGGATGAAAGGTAACACAGTTCCTTAACCTCTTTTCAAAGACTCTTTTCAAAATTAAACCTTACGGTCACAACTAGTCAAGATTTTCATTCAAAAATGTTGCTTAAATATCAAATTTCTCTTCAGAGATGCTATATCCACTTTCTTCATAATCTTCTCATTACCACCGTACCTTCAAAATCATCATTCTCTGATATCAATTTTCCACCTTCCCAGACACAAGTAATAGGGTTTTCAGGCAGAATAGAAACATCATAATCTGTTAGAGTAAGACATCAAACTTCTGAGTAAACCCAATACCTAAATCCTGGGAAAAGGAAGTTTCCTCCTGTCAAGACAATGTTCTTAAAAAAATTCAGCTGCATTTCTTCAGGTAGATTCTGAATTGAATAGACATTACCTTCTGGAATTCCCATTTCTTGAATGCCTGTATCAGAAGGATTAAAGAGTATTTCTGGAACAGCAAATCTCTCATTGGCCAGATGAAGAATTTGTTTCCCAAATTTATATTTTCCACTCAATACCATCTCTTCCCTTGGCTCACAAAAGCCCTTTTTAATTGTACGGAAGTCAGGCAAGACAGAGTCTATCATTTCTGTGTTTTCTTCTCCTTTCAACTTTGCAATATCCATGTCTCTATCAAAAATCCTGACACATAATATACATCTTCTTTCACTTGATTAATCACGTGTTTCATCCATACCACGTAGCTACGAATAACTGCTTTTTTCTTTTTGCTTCTACAATAAGGAACTATATGTGTAAAGCAATATCCATTATCAACAATGATACAGCATAATTCATAAGGATTACCTCGGAAATATCTATGTGCACTGAGAGACCCAGCACCTACTTTTAATACTGCTTGGAACTGGTATTCTTCAAATAGAATTCCGTTCATTGATTCTTGAAGTATGGTTCAGTGATAATATTAGTATCTAAAAAATCAACTCTAATTTGTTACCTGATACATTTCTTTTCCAAAAAGGTAATCTCAAACTTGTCTTTGAATATCCCAATTCACCAAGAGGCCCTTTCGAAAAGGAAGGATGTAGAAGAGTCCAAAAAGGATCTTTAATTTCATCTGTCTGGTTCGCAGTAACAGTTTTAAGGCATACTGTTTTTGACCAGAACTGACAATTAGGAATAACCAACACATTTTCATGGCTGTAACCAATTCTGGTGTTGTAAGCTCCGTTATCCAGCACTAAGGTCGCCATCTCAGCACCAACCACACCGCAGCCGCCATTGTTTTCCCTTTCCAACCCTTCTGCTCCTACATTAGTTTTTAAATTCCCTTCAATTCCCTCTCCCTTTGCTCCTCACCATCAAATCCTGGCATGTTACAGAAATACTATTTGCCAAGCCATCCTATTCTACTTATCTGTTTTCTTTCTTAAGCATTCCAGAGGCCTCTCAGCTGATTCTCCTCTTGCCCCAATCCAGAATATTCTTCAATTCCTTTTTTAAAATTAAGTTACCTATTTTTTAATTAAATCTTTAGGCTAGTGACCCACACTTGAAACATACAGAGCCACACTAACATCAATTGCCACTAGCTTCCTGTAGTGACTTAAAGTTCTATCATTTTTAGCTACTCCTGTTTTGTTTTGTTTTTTTCCATTCAACTTTTACCCATTCTCCACTTTGTTTCTCTAGGACAGGCGTCCCCAAACTTTTTACACAGGGGGCCAGTTCACTGTCCCTCAGACCGTTGGAGGGCCGCCACATACTGTGCTCCTCTCACTGAGCACCAATGAAAGAGGTGCCCCTTCCTGAAGTGCAGCAGGGGGAGGTGGGGGGCAGATAAATGGCCTCAGGGGCGGCCCGCGGGCCGTAGTTTGGGGACGCCTGCTCTAGGATTATCACCATCACCCATCATTTTAAGCTTCCAAGAAGAGTCTGACCCTGCCAGCCAGTTGAGCCTCATGCTGGCTAATCACATTCTCTTGAAAAGCTTTTGGAAAACAGATTCTCATGCTCCCATTCCAAAAGCTACTTGTTATTACCAACAGTGCCTACAGTAAGCTTGAGGTACAACCAAGTTTCAGGTTAAAGCCTCAGCTAACTCAGTCTAAATACTGTTAAGTTCATTTTCTCCTTGTTTCCTCCAAGGTAGTCAGCAATTGAACAGAAAGAGAACAACATAAAAGCATAGAAATAGACAAATTTTCTACACAGACTCCTTGTATTATTCTAAGTTGTACACATGTTCAACAGGAGTTTGAAGTTTATTTAGTCATATGCATGTCATGCCTGACAACTGAGAAAATCCTATTTACATAAAGCATCGTAAATTAAAAATACATAGTATTTGTACTTTAATACAATAGGGTCCCAGGATTCAAACAAGGAAGCTTGATTCCAGAGTTCGCATTAGGTAGTTATGTACTCTGCTACAAAGAACTAGTGGAGGTAAACTTTGGCAGTAAAATTCTCAACAGTCAAATAATAATGCATTTCATATACAGGGCTTTGCATCTGTAGAGGAAGATACAATTTCTTCAGCACAAGTGCCAATTTCTGAGTCTTCCACTTCAAAATCCTCACCAGTTTCTTCTTCAGAATCAAATTCCCGACTATCCAGTGATTCCAAGTTATCCAGAGGTTCACCATTCAGTCTCTTTTAAAGAATAAACCAGTATAATTTATTGTAAAAATGTTAAAACCTAAGTTGATCAGCATACTGATATAGCTGCAATGAGATTGTTTTCATCTTGCCCCTCAATAAATTCACTTATATACAGGGTTATATCAAAGTCTCTACCATGCTAGATCACAGTCAGCAATGTCGAAGTGTTTAATAATTTGCCTTTTTTTTTAAGCACTGAAATGATTTCAGAGTATAATTTAAAACAGTTACTTCCCCAAGCAGCTGCAGGAACAACTAGGTGTTCTACATTTCCAGTCAGCTGTAGACCAATACTTTTAAGGCAGTTAAGAGAACTATTATACTATTTCCAAATGAAAATTTCAAACATGAATTCTATCATGGATCTCAAATGTAGGGTAACAATTCAGCTATATGAAAAGTTTTGATTTCAAATACTTTCTTCCTATCAGCAAGACAAACTTTTTGCAAACATGAATACATAAATCTTAAAACCTTTTTTTTTTTTTTGAGATGGAGTTTCACTCGTTACCCAGGCTGGAGTGAAATGGCGCGATCTCAGCTCACTGCAACCTCCGCCTACTGGGTTCAGGCAATTCTCCTGCCTCAGCCTCCTGAGTAGCTGGGACTACAGGCACGCGCCACCATGCCCAGCTAATTTTTTGTATTTTGAGTAGAGACGGGGTTTCACCATGTTGACCAGGATGGTCTCAATCTCATGACCTGGCGATCCACCCGACTCAGCCTCCCAATGTGCTGGGATTACAGGTTTGAGCCACCGCACCCGGCCTCTTAAAACCTTTTTAAGGGCAGGTATGGTAAAACAATAGTCATCAGGCTAATTCTTACAAACACATTAGCCTCTTACAAAATTATTTAGTCAGATAAAACCACCAAACTTATTTAGTGGACAAATTCACAATTTTATAAATGACAGTCATGTCAAGCTGGCATTAAAACTACCTAAAAATGTGTCAACTATTAAATAATTTTCTGTATTTTCCAGGCATAAGTTAATTGCTTTTACCGAACTTTTATTCTCTGCAAGTACTCCTTGCAACTGTCCATGTATTACAGCTCATTTAATTCTCATAACAAGCCTATCAAGTGGTCACCATCACTCTCACTTTATAGATGAGGAAAATGAAGCCCTGACAGGATAAACCCACTCTACCCAAACTTAATGGTGCCAGGAAGAAAATTAAGTCTCAAATCCAGGAAATCTGATTCCAGAGCCCAAACCCTTCAATGTGATCACACTATACTCCCTCAACTTTACAGAAAAACACATAAATGTGAACCAGGTAACTGTTACATTACCTACCTCTATTAGCTCTGCCATATACTGTACATGTTCTGCTACTTCTGCCAACTCTTTATTCTCCTTTTTCAGGCGGGCGATTTCATTGTCCTTTTGTTCAATTTCTTTATGAAGCTATATTACATAAATAAAGTTCAGTATTCTATAGATTTGCTATGCTATAAATCAAATTGCAGGCCTACAAGTATGTAACGTGGAAGAGATGCAGCATAGATCTGACTCTCAACAGGATTCATTTTGTATGATAATTCCATCAAGAGCTGCCTTTTTATTTAAACTTTTCTTAAGCCAGTATTACAGCTAGTTTATATTGCTCTAATATGCTAAGCAGCAAGAGTAAAACAATCCTGGAATTTAAAAAAAGATACGAATTATACTCAATACATACTTTTTCATTTTCCTTAAGTGCTTCATACAGCGCCTTCCTTCGTTTTTCTGCCACTTCTTTCCAATATTGAGAAGATGGATTTTCTAAAATAATGTTTTACATATAACTTTAAAAAAATCATTACTGTCAAATCCCAGTAATTTCTCCTGTTTCAAAAAAATTTCCAATCTTAGTACGGCCCATATTGTTTAGTAATATTCATTTTCAAAAGATTAAAGTTAGAAAATAAATCAGTATTACTCTATTTTCCCCAACATTTCAAAGATTTCAGTCCTTCAGAAGAATTACAACAAAAGTACAATAGGTATATATCTTCCAAGTAGATTATTAAAAATTTTTGCAACACATTTTTTGTGAGGTTGTAACTTTTTATTTAATGTTGGCATTTTTACAAAATACAGATCAATTTTGTACAGTCCTTAATTTTTTATTTGTCTCCATGATCAGATTCAAACTAAACATTTTTGGCAGGAATACCACATAAGTATGTTGTATCCTCAGTGTACCATCAAGAAGCACACGCCAACTTGTCATGATACTGGAGATGTTAAATTTGATCATTTGGTTAAGATGCTATCCACCATACTTCTGCCTTATAAAGAAAACGTTTTCCCTTGGTAATTAACTAATGATCTGTAGAGTAAAATATTTGAGACCGTGTCAATATCCTGTCCGCCAACAACTTTTTACTGTTTAATTGAAATGTAATTCCACTGATGATTGACATTTCTGGCTTGTATCTACTACTTCCACGGTGGATGGAAAACTGATTTTTCAGTTATGAAATTCTTTCTACATGAACTAGTTAGCATTATTCTGTAAATAAAAACTTTTCCTACCCGAATTTCAAAGAAAATTTATCAGTATGTCCTTTTTTCCTCATATGTATTATAAAAGGACTCATATGTCCTTTTTTCCTCAATGTATTATAATCCATTCTTGTCATTATTCATTTTGATGCTCAAATTTTTTCAACTGCAGTCCTTGAGAATCCTTCCAAGATGATGTGTGTTCTTTCAACGTGTCCACCCATTTCTGAGTACTTCCTTATTTTCTGTCACAAGATAATCCATGATCACCTAAAGTTTCCCTGCCCCTGACCTGGAATCAGCAATTTCTCCAAGGAACTTTAGTCAAGAATAGTGTTTACAAACCAAGAACTAGATACAGGGTGTGCTCCTTGCTACAGAAGTGTAGTTTGTTTCTACTTATTTAGGGGCAGTGCTAGGAAATGTAATACTCTGTAAAAAACAATCAGTTTATACTGATATCCCCAATTCCAATGTAACAACATAATTCTTCCTTTCCTTCTCCCATTTCATACTTGTACTTCCATTTACCACATTATGAACCTGGCTCCCAACAGCACCAACATGTTACTCACTTGTTCAATCCTAAAATATAACTTTTTTTTTTTTTTTCAAAATTACAACAGTACCACTGCCAACAAATATAATAAAGTTCAAACAACAAATGTAACAAAGTTCAGGATTTCTTTGCAGTTCTTTCAATTCTTACCATATATCCCACTGAGGGTTACACAGATAATGTTTTTCACCTGTGGTTATATTAGCAATATAACATATCGTTATTTGTTCTGATATTTAACTTTAGCAGTTTATTTTAGCCAATCGGTGATTTAATTTTAACCTAATCAATATGTAAGTGTCACAAATCCTGCTCTTTAATCTATACGGTTTTTGTTTTTTGAGATAGAGTTTCACTCCGTTGCCAGGCGCCAGGCTGGAGTGCAGTGGCCGATCTCGGCTCACTGCAACGTCCGCCTCCCAGGTTCAAGCAATTTTCCTGCCTCAGCCTACCAAGCAGCTGGGACTACACGCGTGCACCATCACGCCCAGCTAATTTGGGTATTTTTTTAGTAGAGATGGGTTTTTTTACCATGTAGGCCAAGATGGTCTCAATCTCTTGACCTCGTGATCCACCTGCCTTGGCCTCCCAAAGTGCTGGGATTATAGGCATGAGCCACTTTTCCAGCCTATTCATCCACATTTTTACTGGTTTCTTTATGCCACACTCTCCTGGAATATTCAAATTCCTTTCATACCTCAAACTCATCCTCTAAACGTTGTTCTTCTAAAAAGTCTACTTCCAAGTCTTATAAACCCCCTACAAGGCAATTCAATATCAGAGCTGTCATATTAATAACTATCCTTTCCCAACTTTTTTCTTCTTCAGAGAATGGATCTTGACCTGTCACCCAGGCTGGAATGCAGTGGCACTATCATAGCTCATTGTGGCAGCAAACTCCTAGGCTCACATGATCCTCCTGACTCTGCCTACTGAGTAGCTAAGAATACAAGCACAAACCACCATGCTCAGCTAATGTTTTCACAGATAGCATCTCACTGTATTGTCCAGGCTAGCCTCAAACTTCTACACTCAGGCCAACCTCCTGCCTCAGCCTCACAGCGTGCTGGGATTACAGGCATGAGCCACTACACCGGGCCTCCTTTTCCTTAACATTTCATCCCCACATGGATCTTGTCAAACAAATCGTCACACACAAAAACATTTAGAGTGTCATTGTATTTACAATCATAAAAAATTATAAATCATTGAAAACATACAAGTATGTTTATATCTAGCAGTATCCCTAGATCAAGGTAATTGCAGAATTCATAACAGTATTAACAAATTTTTCCTTATATCATAATTTAAAACTATAAGACAAAAGTTATCTATTTTTTCATACCTTTAATCATAAGATCAAATGACTCCTGGGTGATTCCTCCAAGATTTTTATTTTCATTAGATTCTGGGACAATAACCCCAGGGCTGGAAGTTGCAGATGTTAGCTGATCATTCCGATGTTTCCTTTTGGACAAGCCTGTGGACAACTATAATGAAAACACTTAACTGTATTTACTTTGATTTAATTAACAAGAAACTAGGTGGTTTTTCATTTATGTATTTAAAAAAGAAAATGAGTATTTTATGTATTTTGTATCTCTGAATCTCTAAAAAAGTTATATAATTAAAAATTCTACCAAAATGCATACTAACATTTTAGGAATTTCATTTGCAACAACTATTTTGGATTAGACTATGGTCTACAGCTTAGCTGAAATTATTTATTTATTATTTTTAAAATTTTTTAATTTTTATTTTTGTTGAGACAAGTGTCTCTCTCTGTCATCCAGGCTGGAGTGCAGTGGTGCAATCTCAGCTCACTGCAACGTTGACCTCCCAGATATAAGTGATTCTCCTGCCTCAGCCTCCCTAGTAGCTGAGATTACAGGTTTGTGTCACCATGCCCGGCTAATTTTTTTGTACTTAGTAGACACGGGATTTCACCATGTTGGCCAGACTGGTCTTAAATTCCTGACCTCAAGTGATCCACCGACTTCAGCCTCCCAAAGTGTTGAAATTAACAGCTGTAAGCCACCATGCCTAGCCATGAAATTATTATTATTTTGAGACAGGGTCTCACTTTGTCACACAGGCTGTTGCTCAGTGGTGCAAATGTGGCTCATTGCAGCCTCGACCACCTAGGCTAAAGCAATTCTCCCGCCTCAGACCCCCAAGAAGCTGGGACTATAAGCGTGTGCCATCACGCCTGCCTAATTTTTGTATTTTTTATAAAATGGGGTTTTACCATGTTGCCCAGACTGGTCTCAAACTCCTGAGCTCAAGTAATCCAACCACCTTGATCTCCCAAAGTGCTGGGATTACAGGCATCAGCCACCATGCCTGGCCTAAAGTTATTTTTATTGTGTTTAAATATTGTATTTAAAATCATTACCACAGAAAGGTAATATTTTCATTCTGCCAAAGTCTAAAAATGCTTATGCATGACGGCGTTGTTTACACGCACGGGTAAAGAATCTAATACTTTATTCTAAAAGTATCAAACATTACTTCTACAGGAGCATTCATAATTTACATCATTCCAGTACTACAGGTATTCACCGCAATTTTAATTTTTTTTTTTTTTTTTTTTTTTTTTTTTGAGACAGAGTCTTGCTTTGTTGGCCAGGCTGCAGGCTGGAGTGCAGTGGTACAATCTCTGCTTACTGTAACCTCTGCCTCCTGGGTTCAAGTGATTCTCTTGTCTCAGCCTCCCAAGTAGCTGGGATTATAGGCACACACCACTATGCCTGGCTAATTTTGTATTTTTAGTAGAGGCAGGGTTTCACCATCTTGGCCAGGCTGGTCTCAAACTCCTGACCTCAGGTGATCTGCCCGCCTCAGTCTACCAGAGCGCTTGGATTACAGGCACGAGCCACTGCACCCAGTGAACTTCTTAAATTGAATAATTCTTTTTAAAATCACTTACTTGGGGAATATATAATTGTTATTTCCAAATTATTTCCAAATTTCCACAATTTATGTGTTTTTGACCAACAAAATAGCAGAAATGTTTTTATGCAGACATTTTATCAACAAACAGTACCCCACTTTAGCCATATAGCACAAACCTCATTTTCTCTTCCAACAAGAGATCCAGATGCTGAAGGCTGAATCATCTTCAGAGTTCTTCTCGGGACAGAACTACTCTGAAAGTTAAGATAATTAATTCATTATCTGGTTCCTGAATTGCATATGGTTATTCAGTTACTTCAAGTTACTCTTAATCCTTCTATAATTTGGGGTGGGGAAGAAACAATAAGAACACAAACATTTGGTCTGCTATATAATTTTATAAGGTTACCTATGAACAAGACACTCGTTTAGTCAACTGGCAAACTTGTTATTTCCAAAAATTATAATAAAGTTTGAAGAATCCTTAAGAATGAATCGTATTACCTAAACTAGACACAAATACAAGTAACTTCTCTCATTTCAATGTATGCTCTTGCTGTGGTTATTTTGTTAATCATATCTAGTTAAAACATACTTAACAAAATTCCTTAGCTCTCTGAAAAATCGTCCACACAAAAACTACAATCTTACAGGTACTCTTTCATAAAACCAAACACTGTAACCTTTATAGTATGAATTCGCAAAACAGGTAAACTGGGAGAAAAAAATCATTTACATCGCAAAATGTTTTCCCCTAATCAAAGACTCATCTCAGACCTCCTTAAATCATGACTATCCCCCAAATACTTACAAGTACTCACTAAAAGAACATAATTTTCCAGAATATACTTTACACAAAACAAAGTACATTTGTAATAGACATCCCCCCTCAAGCATTACCTGATAGCAGAAGCAGTTCTGCTTCAAGCCCATTCATTAGAAGTTGGCTAAAATGTCAGTGCCTGAGGCATACTAAAATAGCCACTCTAAAATGCCCAAAGTATTGTTTTGGTGAAAATATTGCCTTCCTTGTAATATGTAAATAACTTCCTTTATATTTCATGATCTGAAAGCTCTCTCTTGTTTTTTTGCAAAATATCATTAGTTATACTGCCACCATGGGATAGCAAACAATGGTGAATACTCAAACAAGGTTAGCAAGAACATGATACCATACCAGCGTGAGAAAGTTACTGATACCACACAGTACTTCACATGACAAGAGTTCACCTTTCCCACGGTAAAGTTTCTACTGCTGATTATTATCTCACCATTTAACTGAGGGACAAATGCCAGCTACTGTGAGAACAAATATTACACCAACGTTTCAAATATAATTTAAATTATAGATTAGTCAACAGTCTCCAGACAAATAAAAGAAAATGTAACGTTGGAACCTTAATAATAAGAGGTGTTAATTTATTTAAATGCTTGCTGTGAATAATGGTCAAAGAAGCCAGCTAAGTTACTGCCACACATAAAAAAAGACCATTTCCAAGATTTAACTTTTATTTATATAGGCTTTATAGACTTTGGCCTAAAACAATGTAATATTACTATTTTTATTTTCTGTATATAGATTATACATTGGAATAAGAGACTTTTTTTTTTTTTAAAGTAGAGATGGGATTTCACCATGTTGGCCAGGATAGTCTTGATCTCCTGACCTCGTGATCAGTCTGCCTTGGCCTCCCAAAGTGCTGGGATTACAGGAGTGAGCCATCGCGCCTGGCCGAAATAATAGACTCTTAAAGCCAGAAAGTTTCCTGCATGTTGATGGGTCTTAATCTTTTTGGAAAACTGTTTAATATTCTGTGAATCCTCTTCCCCTAAAAAATTCATATAAAAGCACATTCACACAGAATTTTGCATACAACTCGTAAAGATCTAGTTCTAGTCCGGTTCCTCAATGTACAGATGAGTAACCTGAGGCTGGAAATGCTAACTAACCCACCCAAGGTCTCAATTTTGGAGGTAGAACCAAAATCAAACAGAACCTAGTACCTTTATATTCAAGGGAGTTTTATTGTAGCTAGTAAACATAAGACTTTTTAAAAATGTAATCTGCTGGAAGTATAGAAATTATTTGGCTGTGATTTCATTCAAAATAATTCATTGAAGGAGAGGTGGAGTAAATAAGGACATAGATGAAATCAGATTGGCCATATGGTGGTAATAGCTGAAGTCAGGGAAGCAAATTATTGTAATACTGACTCTAAGTATTTCAAAAATTTCATAACAAAAATTGTAAATAATCACATCCAAAGCACAGTGGGAAGATGTCATCATCCTAAATGGAAGCTAATGAAATTAAATTTACAAACTGTCAATGTGAACTATTATTCAAGAAAATCTAAGAATCCTAAGAAAGGCAAGGCGAATAAATAACCCATCAAAAGGTACTTGCGTATACTTATCAATGGCTTTTAAGTACTTGATTTAGTTTAGTATTATTATTTTTTTTAGATACAGGATCTTACTCTGTCACCCAGCCTGGAATACACTGAAGCAATCATAACTTACCCAAGGCGTTTGAAACTACTAACCTTAAGCAATTCCTCCCACCTCAGCCTTCCAAGTAGCTGGTATTTCAAGTGGGTGCCACCACACCCAGCTAATTATGGTTTTTTTAGAAACAGGGTCTCCCTTTGTTGCCCAGGCTGGTCTCAAACTTCTGAGCTCAATCAATCCCCCTACTTCAGCCTCCCAAGTAGCTGGGATCACAGGCTTGAGCTACCATGGGCATATGGTTCTTTATTTAATTTAAACCCACTAATTGATAGTTTTTCTGAAGATGTAGTCCAATTTCCAGGGTATTCATATAGTTTCAGTTGTATGGAAGGACCTAGCTAAACTGTAAATTCATTTAGAACCATACATATGAACCTAGTTAAAATTACAAACTCAAAACTAAAGAAATTCTGTCCTGTTGTCATAAGAATAAATACTTGGAATAAGATTTCCAGTGAGAGTACCATACAGGGATTCTAATAGTACTGCAAATCCAATAGGTTAGATGGTAATGAATATGGTATACTCTCTTTTTTCTTTTTGGTAAAGATGGGGTTTCACCATGATGGCCAGGCTGCTCTTGAACTCCTGACCTCAGGTGATCCACCCACCTCGGCCTCCCAAAGTGCTAGGATTACAGGCGTGAGCCATCGCGCCCGGCCAAATATGGTATACTCTCGAAAAATGTGCAATATAATGCACAACATGTCTGTAGTCACAGACACTTAATTCTGAAGATACACACAAGGGATTTTAATAAAATCATTTCACGAAATACAAGCACAGAAACAAAGCAGTAATAATCTTACACATAGAAAATCCTAAAGATACTTTTGGAATCTTCACAGAGATAACACAAAAAGAAAAGAAAATCCTGAAGAATCTACTAAAAGACAATTCGAACTAATAAACAACTTCAGTAAGGTTTCAGGACACAAAATCAACATACAAAAGTCAATTATTTTTCTATGTAGTAGCAATGATCAAATGAGAATGAAATTAAAGAAACAATTATACTCACAATAACCTCAAAAAGAATACTTAGGAAAAAATTTAACATAAACAGTGTAAAATTTATGCTCTGAAAACTACAAAATACTGTTGATAGACCAAAATAAGAGACATCCCATATTCTTGAGTCAGACTTAATATTCAACCATAATTAATTTTTTTAAAATGTTCTCTATTGTTACTCATCCTCTGACTACTCAAGGCTTCCAGAAATCATAGCCAGGCTAAATTTGGCTAAATGATATCAAAATACTTTTAACCCCATGATTTCTACAAAAAAAAATTAAAGTTATTCAATCACATACCTTTATATTCTCTTTGATTTCTTCTTGTTTCTGCTTCATACTGGGATTCATTGTGTAGACGGTGAAGCACAGAATACTAATAATTAAAAAACAATATGGTTTGCAATGCTGAAGGTGAAGTCTAGGTTTGCTTAAAATACAATCATAAAAATCATACTATTGTACAGTAGAACTATTATTTTTTTCTCACTTAATCCAAACTCAGCCCTGTAGATGACTAAGGTGACTAACGTTAACGACTCTTGATATCTAATTTTATATATATGCGCACATAATTATGTCTGAAGAAAATGAAACTAATGTATTTTAAACAAATTTTAAGAATTGGTTTAAAATATCTAAACATGTCCTAGATTAAATACAGGGCTCTCAAAGATCTGAGAAATAGTAACCAGAAATAGAAAAAAAAAAAAAACCAACCCAGATACTTAGGTGTGCCCAGGTCCACTCTACAGAGCAGCACCTTAACATCCCTGCTTCAAAGACAGATTTAAGGTATAACAAACTCGGCTCTGACGATCACCTAATACTGACTTACTATCTGGTCAGATGAGATCATGCATTTACATTCGTAGGAAATGTTTAACCACCAACATGAAATGAAGGACTAACAAGCAAGGAAGAAGGAAAAAGATAAAAAGGGATATATGCAATGTCGTTAAGTAGACCACTGGACCAAAGTCACAACAAATTCAGCATCTGAACCGCTCCTCCAAGGCCCGCCACCACTTGGCCCCCGCTGTGTCTGTGCCTGTGCCTCGCCGACAGAGCTCCCTAATTGCTGTGGCCATGCCTTTACTCAGTGCAGTGACTTTTCTAACACTAATACGTTTTACGTGGTGCCCTGGCGCGCACACACACACATATACAAACAAAAAAGCTTAGGAAAGGCCGGTCGTCGTGGCTCACATCTGTAATCCCAGCACTTTGGGAGGCCGAGGCGGGTGCATCACCTGAGGTCAGGAGTTCGAAACCAGCCTACCCAACAAGGTGAAACTCCGCCTCTACTAAAAATACCCAAAAAATGGCCACGTGTAGGTGTTTGCCTGTAGTCCCAGCTACTAGGGAGGCTGACACAGGAGAATCGCTTGAACGCGGGAGGGGGAGGTTGCATTGAGCCGAGATCCCACCACTGCACTCCAGTCAGGGTGACAGAGCGAGATTCCGACTCAAAAACAAACCAACGAAAAAAAAATCTTAGGAAACCGAGCACTCTAATTTGTACGGGGCATCCTGCCATTTTCTACTTTATTTCATGTTAAGAAAATGCTGGCTGGGCCCGGGCAATGTTTTTCAAACTGCGGGCCGTGATCTCGAATTACTGAGTGAGTCGCGAGCAACACTGTTTAGAAACACGCGACTGAACAGAACGGAACGGAAGAGACAGAAATGCTGCTTCGATCTACGGCTCACTCGGTGAGACGGCTGCGACCTAAGGCGTACTTCAGCACTTATCAAGTAAGTCTAACCCTTCACAGGTCTCCCACACCCGACAGCAGCCCTGCACCCTTACTCGCCGGTGATTCTCGGGTTCCTTTAACAGCTACACTGAAAACCCTGGCATAGGACAGGGTCCCTGCGAAACCCTATCAACAAAGCCGGTATCCGTTCAATGGGACACGCGGGACTCAGCGACCTCTTCCCAGGAGCCAGATTTACAGATCCCTCAGGTAAGAACCAGCCACTTAACTGCCGAGAGGAGGGAACGTTCCGCCTCATCCCCACAGCCAACCACGCCCAGGCTGAGTCCCTAAGCCCGGACTCAGCCAGCTAGTCCCGGAGCGCCGGGCGAGAGGGCGGGCGGTGCGGGCCCGCGCGCCCGAGCCCACCAATCGCGGCGCGCGCCTCGAGAACGGCGCCCGCCAACCAATCGGGAGCGCGGAAGTCAGAGCGCGCCAAAACCGACCCAGCCAATGAGGCAGTCCCTCGAGTCGCCTCCCTACCCCGCGCCGGCTCCCGCGACCTTTTAACAACCCCTTGGCCCTTACCCCTGCTGTGGCCCCGCGACTGTCAGAGGACGACGCGGCTTCAGCGGCTGGCAGGAGCGAAGGCGAGTCTTCTAGGGGCCGTGCGCTTTGCGCCCCTGCGTGCCCACCTCCTGCCACCTCTTTCACACTTACGCGGTGGAGACGTTCAATGCTCGTAACGAACGCAGGTAGCTGTGGCAGCAGCACCTCGAAATAGGCCGCAGCTCACCTACGCCGATCCCCACGGTCGCTGGAGCGGCCGACGCTCGCGGCAGTAAAGCCCTTCTAACTCCGCTCGCCCGCTCCGGACGACCGCGTGACCACCCGACGCAGACGAGGGGCGGGGCCTCTGGAATCCCGCGAATGGCCCCTCCCCTCCGCCCCGCCCCTTCCTGCGTCTGCGCGGTCAGCGGCAGCGTGTACTTAAGGGCGGCGCGGGCCGGGAGGTCTGTTTTCTTTGACTCGCCCCTCCGATCCTGCGCTCGGAACGTCCTTAAAGTGCGAAGTTTTAGCCCTTAACCAAAAGCGTAAAGATTTGCCTCCATTAGTCGTTAACACTGGAAGAACGAAATATTGAATGTGCATATATATATTAATGCGTAGTGCACGACATATATTTGTGTGAAGCCCTGGCTCCACGGACTTGTACTAGGAGCTTTTATAGTTTGACTTTTTGTGTTTTGACTATGCTGTGGTGCCATCGCAGTTGTTCAGGGAGACCGCGATCACTTAATCCTGCTGCTGTTCACGGAGCGCCTACTACGTGCCAGTTACTGCTGTTCTAGGCACTGAAATTGCAGAAAAAACTTGGTAATAATTACGTTTAGCCTTTCCTTATTTCATAAAATTCTCGGCCGGGCACGGTGGCTCACGTCTGTAATCCCAGCACCTTGGGAGCCCGAGGCGGATGGAGCCCCTGAGGTCAGGAGTTCGAGACCAGTCTGGCCAACATGAAGAAACGTCTCTGCTAAAAATATAAAAATTAACCGGACGTGGTGGCAGGCGCCTGTAATCCCAGCTACTCGGGAGGCTGAGGCAGGAGAATCGCTTGAACCCGGGAGGTGGAGTTGCAGCGAGCCGATATCTGGCCGCTGCACTCCAGCCTGGGCAACAGAGCGAGACTCTGTCTTAAAAAAAAAAAAAAAATTATCAGATGAGTGCCCTGTGAACCTAGTACGTTTGGGCACACTGGAGTCCAGTCAGAGCTTTTGTTTACAACAACCATAGATATTAGCACAAGCCTGTTTTCCCATTTCTTAACTTTTCATGGCAGTATCATTCTCAGGGAAGTTCGAGACCAGCCTGGCCAACTTGGTGAAACCCTGTCTCTACTAAAAATACAAAAATTAGCCAGCGTGGTGGTGCGCGCCTGTAATCCCAGCTACCGGGGAGACTGAAGCCGGAAAATCCCTTGAACCCAGGAGGTGGAGGTTGCAGTGAGTAGAGATGACACCACTGCACTCCAGCCTGGGTGACAGAGCAATACTCTGTCTCAAAAAAATACAAAGAAAAGGAAGAAGAATAAGAAATTCTATTTATAAAGCAGACAATACATTGACTAGAAAACTATCAAAAGACAGGTTTCCGTCACCACCACCGTGTAAAAAAAAAAAAAAAAAAAAAGACTGGTTTTACAGAGTAAGAATCCTGGTTAGTGGTAAGCATAAACAGTATGTTGTCTGAAACACCAACTATAGTAAATAATATATCTAACTTCCACAGTTTGTTCATTCATTAATGATAAACATAAAGCTTACAGCTCCTCTTCTTGATATAAAGGAGGATTTTCATTTTGGGTTTCATAGAAGTGAGTGATTCTAAGAAGTTTATTATGTATAGAAGACATTTTGGTCTGCTAGTTGTTATATCTTTGTTTTAAAGAAAATCTTTGTTCTAATTAACTCACAAACAATAAAATCACAACAGCTGGTTTAAGGAGGCCACAAAAACGTTTCCCCAGACCCAAATTCTATACCATCATCTCAGTGAAATTCTACCCAGTAGGATAATCTTCTTCCATTGCAATTCTGAAGCAAGTTAGCTGTGAATGACAGAGGAGAGGTTTAAATGATGGTTTTACACTTTATAGCTTCACTATCAATTACATTTTTATGCTAAATTAACTTGGTCATGAGAGCCGGTTTTCCATTTCTTCAATGTGAACTTTTTGTTTAGGCTAATTTCCCTCTGTCTCCGCACATCTTCCTTCTATGCACGTCTCTATGTCCAAATTTCCCCTTTTTATAAGCACACCAGTCAGATTGCATTAGGGCCCATCCTAAATGACTTCATTTCAATTTATCACCTCTGAGGTGTTAAGACAACAACAGGTGAATTTGGGAACACAATTTAACCTATAACAGAAAGCTTTTCAGCTTTTCCATTCCACGTGGGAGTAAACAGCATAGACTCTACTATCCATGCAGTTCTGCCATTGTGTGGACCTTTTCCTTTTTGTGGTCATTATATTTTAACTTTATTGTCTTTGTGGAATGCTGAGCAGATCCTACATGTTAAAAGGGCTTTCAAGAGGCGAAAAGCTTCTTGCTTTGAAGGTCTGTTTATCTTGTTCATAATTAAACATAAGAATAACTTCTGAGGAAGTTTTGATACATGAGATCCAGATTGGATTTGATTTGTTTATTTTTATTATTATTCTTATCGAGACGGAGTCTCACTGTGTCGCTCAGGCTGGAGTGCAGTGGTATGATCTAGGCTCACTGCAACCTTCACCTCCCACGTTCAAGTGTTTCTCCTGTCTCAGCCTCCTGAGTAGATGGCATTACAGGTGCACGCCACCACGCCCGGCTAATTTTTTGTACTTGCAGTAGAGACAGGGCTCAAGTGACCCTCCCTACTTAGCCTCCCAAAGTAGTAGGATTTCAGCCACAAGCCACCACACCCAGCCCATAGTGATGAATCCCTAAATTTAGTATTCCTCTCCTGTAACATGACCAACTGCATGTAGGACATCCATGTCAGCTCATGTGTGTCACCCAGTGAGACTCGAAGAATATGAGGAACTGTCACAACCATGAACCTCTGGCTGCTGCTTTTGCTGTGTGCAAGACAGTCCTTGTCTCTGACCCAGGAATCTCATATCTTCTAG